CATTTAAAGCGGGAAACAATCAGCAGTGGGAGCAGCTGACGCTAACCCAGCGTGATGATGTCACCAGACAGGGATTAGACCAGCTTTTCTAACCAGTGGGGAAGGAACCAGAAGCTGATTGTTAGCGGGTCCACCCGTGTTCTAAAAACACGCGTTAGCCCGCTATTTGCTTTAGAGAACGCAGCGTTATGGCGTTCTCCATCAGAGGAGACACCGCAGTCCTCAGGTTTGTCGTTGCTCTTCAATTTTTGGATGAGGTTCTGGAAACGGGTCCGGACGCAGCTCCTCCTAGAGGCTCCACGCTGATGATCTCACCAACTGCCTGAATGCTAGTTTTCTGGCGCCGCCTGCTGCTGGCAGCCAAGGAGATCAGCGTTGGTGGGAGAGGCGCCGCCTACGAAGGCGTACGCACCGACTCACTTGGTTTTCATCTAGAGGCGAGGCGGCCGCTTAGATCGGACCTTTTGACCAATCGGACGCAGTTAATACCCAAAGTCAACGTTGTCTGAACGGCGCTAAACGCTGTCCGGTTTTCTGCTGCTGGGCTGTTTTAGTCACCATGGTAACAGCCATGGCGATGCCCGGTTCAATACACAGCATTGAACAAGGTTTAGTGCTTTCAAAACTAGTTCTTTTCAGCATGAAGGTTTCCGTAAATAAGACGTTTCCGGACAAGTTGACCTCCTGGAGACGTTTATCTGTGGCGAATCCAGGAACCATCAGCGTCTCTTTCCTTTTCTCCCTGGATGGCGTCTCAGCATGACGGTGGTGGTTTTATTGGTAAAGTTGGTTTGAGGACAGATTTTATACGCTTTCCTGTATTTGCAACTGATTCATGTTAACAATGTTTGTTTAGTGTAAATAAATAAGGCTGGCGTGGCTTCAGGCTGGTTTATGGGATGGTTATCATGGCCGTATTGTGAAACAGAGGTTTTTATTAGTCTCATTGTGGAACAGAAATTACGGCGGCGATGCTGGGAAACCGCTGGCTTGGTTTGAGCGGGTTAAACATTTGGACTCATTAAACAAGCAGGAATCAAACAGCAGAACCTACCTGGACCAGGTGGGCCTGCAGCTTCCTGCAGTCCAGGTGAGGGAGCTCTTCAGGGAGGGACATCAGCAGGTCCAAAACTACCGCACTCTCTGGAGGACAAAGAGATGATGTCATCTTTACGAGGGTCATGGCCAAAGACTTTAGAGTACAGCAATAAAAGTTATTTATTGTCTTTTGTTCTTTGGTTTTCCTTGATGAACCAGAAACATCCTCCAACATGAAAACTGGGTCAGTGAGTAACGTTAGCTAGCTCTCCATGATGCTACTGAGGAACCTCAGATGCTTTTAGTATTCTGCTCAAACCAGCAGAAATCTATAGATGGAAAAACCCTATGGAGAGCAAAGAATGCCATCAATTCAATACATTAATAAAAGTGTTTATTTGTAAATTGAATATTTCAAATAAAAACATCTTTTTATACCCATTTTTTTAAATAAACAAAAAATTTTAAAGTCGTAGGGAAGCGGCGGCTCCAACGGTTGCATTTCCGAATTCTCCCGAGTGGTGCCCGACTTTACACGAGTGAATGTAATTGGTCGATTATCAAGGGGGCGGGATTGTTGTGGCAGACAGTTCAAAAGCAAGTTTGGTTGTGGCCGGTTTGT